CCCCCCAACAAGCAGATCTATCGCCAAGACATATGTACTGCTGCTCCTCCGAAGAGCCATGTGAACCACATGTATTGCTATCGTTGTGTGCCTGGGCTACCACGCCGACCGGCTTAACGCTAGTGGCCTATGAATATGTGAGCATTGGCTACCATGCCGACAGGCTTAACAATAGTGGCCTATGGCTATGTGAGCCTTGGCTACCACGCCGACCGGCTTAACAATAGTGGCCTATGACAATGTGTGCCTGGGCTAACACGCTGACTGGCTTAACTCTAATTAGACGCGCACTATGTGTAATGTTAATTAACAAAATGGATATACGTTGCAATCCGATAGATAAGACCCCAGCACCCACCTGAGCAAATATCATAATTTAGTCATTTGATAACTGCTGTTACTTTCTCCACTTAATCAGTCCCAGTGGCAGCGTAACAGCTTGTTAATTCATGTTCGTGCAATGATGAGACGGACAAAGTTAGCCGATGCATGCCATTTTACTCTCTCGTGCAGATAAAAGTTGTCAAAGTTACAGTGCACAAAAACCCCTGGGTGGACTGACCTGAATGAACTGAAATAAAAAGCAGAATATAAATGTTCTTTCTCCGTTTTCTGAATTACACAGCACAACGAGAGCACATTTCTCCGAACTACACTACCTATAATGCATTTCACTCAGGACTATAACAGCCGTAGATAGTGATCTTCAGCGATAACTCTTATTTCCCTTCTCCCGCAACACTGTCATTGATATGACTGCGATAAGCACGTGCTTCTGACGCTGCGTGCAGCTGAAATGAAAAACATTGACCTTAGAAATAACGAACGTGAACACTGAGATAACGCTGATGTATATGGCGAAGCCCCGTTGAAATGCATACACAAGAATGCTTATTTCATTTAACCTGTTTCATGTCCGTTACTATCGGCGTGTCCTCAGAGCGATTACATATGCTCTAAACTGCGTTTTGCTCCAGCTGTATAAACACAGATGCTAAATGCTGCTGCTAATATGCTTAATATTTCGCTCCTGCATACAATGCAAACTGCTAACATGACTCTTAGTTTAAACTTGATTATGGTTGCTCATTTTTAAATTCAATTAGGCATACCACGCAATACACACAGCGATATGGATTAGAAGAGCATTCACTTATCTTAGATGTTGATTTCACTGTTTCTGAAGCACGCTGCAAACTGCTACAGCAATCACTATTCATATATTTGAATGTTGAGCAGAGAGCTTATTGGCTACCTACCGATACAGGAGAGAACCAATCGGCTGTGCCATGTGATATTGATGTCATTAGGTCAGTTTGAATTTCATCAATTTGAGTTTCATTCCAGAACTCTGTATTTCAAATCTATTAACATATTTACTGACAAATTGCTCGAGACCTAGTAATATAAAAATTATAATTAAACTTTATTGGGAGTAGTACTCGTGCACAATGCACATTTCTTAACATTAAGCCTAAAATGTGTTTTAATATCACTATTGATGAGGATTGTATCATCTTTGAATAATATTGGACTTTAAATGCAAGATATTTAAAGTGTACCTGAAGTATACTTGCAATAGTTCCACTTCAGCACAATCAAATATACTTCAGTATATCTTTAGTTGGACTTTATTTTGTACGCAATTGAAGTCCATTAAGTACAAAATTACCAAAATTACCAGTTTAGTATACTAAAAGTACAATTGCAGGGTATTTTTATTAAGTACGTAAATATATAAATGTATTTGTAGTATACTTAGCATAAAATAGATTTATTTTAAATACATTTTAGCATATTTATTTATTTTTCACTAAGGCACATTTGTTTTTCACAAGAGATTACTTATGCAGTTCCGTTTGTACATGCTAGTGGCATGGAAAATTGACAGTAATTGACATTACACACTTCATGTGTCATGAGCTGTAATGAAACCTCTGAGCAATAGAGTTTTCCTCAGTGAGTGTATTAACCTCAGATTAGATGAAGGCTATTAAGAACATGATCTTTAATATTTAGTGCACTAATTTGTGTATCTTTATGGGTTATTATTTCCTCTTTTTCTTTTTGATTTGGAGGATCTGGAGTCTTGTAGATCATGCGCTAATAGCACGTTGCAACATGGAGGAGCCTATACGCTGTGCTGCTGTTAGTACGGACGGAATCCACCTCGCTCTGGGCATGAAAGACGGATCCTTCACAGTGCTGAGAGTCAGGTGATGCACTCAGGCAAAACACAGCAGAACAGACTGTCTAGAGCAGGGATACTTGTCAAATTTAGCCTACCACAAGCTTATCAAAACTGCTTCACTGCTTATTAATATTTGAACACTGCTTGCCATGTGCAGCAAACAACATGGAGGAAAAAAAACAGGAAATTATGTCATATATATAGAGGAGTGGTTAGTTCTCACCACAGTTTAAAAAAAACGCTAAAAAAGTGGGCGTGGTGCACAGTGGAGCGGAGGGGGAAGAGGGGAGACAGACAACACACACAGCTTTGCATTCAGACAGTTTAATTTCACTCCCATCGAGTTAAAAACACAAATAAATGCATAGCCATTTGCGCTCTGCATCGAAAACATATATATGAATGAGCTGTTGCACCTCTCAGAACTTTTAAGGCTTATTCTGTGGTTTTTATATCAGCCTTTTGACGGGTTATGTCACAGAGCTGTAAAAACGGTTATGCTCACCAAGTGAATGAAACGCATTTGTGCCGAACTCTTATTACAAAGCAAAAACAAACACTCTTCTTCGATCCATGAATGTTTCTCTCAGTTAATGTACGCGATCTCACAGTCTGAAACGTCTGTCATAGCAAATCAACACATGCTGTTGTAAATAATTAAGCGAAGCCTCTTCTAATAGGATAAGAACATGCTAAAATCTCAGAAAAAGTAGTCTGGGTTTTCATGACCCTTTAATGTTATTTATTTATTATCATAACATTTATTAATATTTTGATTAATAAATACTATAATAGTAATTGCATTTTTATATTTTCCCTTTTCATTTTAATTTTAGTTTAAGTTTTAGTATTTTTATAGGCTTACATCATTTATTTATGGGCTTAAATATTAGTTTTCCAGCATTTTTGTGTATTTGAACCCTTTCCAACAATGACTGTATGGTTTTGAGATCCATGTTTTCACACTGAGGACAACCGAGGGACTCACATGCAACTCAAACGCTCACTGATGCTCCAAAAGGAAAAATCATGCATGAAGATAAGGGTAAATTTAACTTATTTTGCCTTCTGGGAAACATGTAAGTATCTTCTGTAGCTTCTGAAGGGCAGTACTAAATGAAAAAATACGATATTTAGGCAAAATGGAAGAACAGCAGGCAGTTTAACTGTTCAGGACAAACAAGGGATTTATTAACAACTATCACTAAACAAAAAAAAACAAAGAAACACACAGCTGTGGATCATTCAGGTAACAAAGTATTAAGAATCAAGTGTATGTAAACTGTTAAACGGGGTCATTTTTATAAATTCAACTATTTTCTCTTGTGGACTATATGTAAATATCTTTTATGTGAAATCTTATTCAGGTCAGTACTAAATAAAAAATAACATGCATTTTGTATGATCCCTCTTATTTTGGTAAAATAATTAACATTTTGCAGATTCTGAAAGGTTTATGTAAACTTTTGACTTCAACTGTAAAAACTAAAAGGCAATTATTTGATGAATAAGGTGATTAAAATATAAGGCTGGTCTAAGACAGTTGGTTACTAATTGTTGGTTACTGCACATTTAAAAAAACACTCAAGTATTCACCAAAATCAAGCATCTATTACTATTACCAGATAATTTTACTCAAAGGCCCCTGGTCACTCTGCACTTTCCAAAAGTGACCCCTGAGCTATGCAGTTTGAGTATCCCTGGTCCAGAGCAACCTAAAATAAGTAAAATATGCAAATCTGTTAGACCTGTACTCATTTTGCAGGGACATGACGGAGGTGGTCCACATTAAGGACCGTAAAGAGGCCATCCATGAACTGAAGTACTCCCCTGACGGAGCGCACCTAGCCGTGGGCTCTAATGATAACTCGGTGGACATCTACGGCGTTGTGCAGCGATACAAGAAGGCGGGCGAATGCGTGGCCTCCAGTAGCTTCATCACACACATGGATTGGTCCATTGACAGCAAGTATCTACAGACCAATGACGGCAATGGTCGGCGGCTCTTCTACAGGATGCCCAGTAAGAACTCTGTACTCTCTTGGAATTATGTATTGCTTGTATTTATGCCTCGGATTGGATAATATAATTTCGACTGATTTTGGTGTTGTTTGTGTTTAGGTGGTAAGGAAGTGACCAACAGGGAAGAACTGAAGCTTGTCCAGTGGTCTTCATGGACTTGTGTCCTCGGGCCGGAGGTGAACGGGATCTGGCCTAAATACTCTGATATCAATGACATCAACTCTGTAGATGCCAACTTCAATAGTCAAGTTTTAGTGACAGCAGACGATTATGGATTAGTTAAATTATTTCGGTACCCATGTGTAAGAAAAGGTGGGTCCTCTTTTACTCTTGGTCTCATTTTTGTTAATGACATTCTGTCATTATTTATGCTTACCCAGTCTGCCTGTTTTACATCTCTAGGTGCTAAGTTTAAAAAATATTTAGGGCATTCAGCACACATAACCAATGTCAGATGGTCACATGATTATCAGTGGGTGATTACTATTGGTGGAGCCGATCATTCAGTGTTCCAGTGGAAGTTTGTCCCCGAAAGGAAGTCAAAAGAAACTCTTCATATAGCTCCTCAAGGTGTGAATCTATCTATCTATCTATCTATCTATCTATCTATCTATCTGTCTGTCTGTCTGTCTGTCTATCAAGTATAGCATATAAGTATAAAAATAAAAAATCTGTAAAGATAATGCATTATTGAAACAAAATGCCACTTTAAGGACACTTTTAAAAAGTGTGCATTGTAATGTAATTGTCAAATTAAAAGTTTACCTTAAAGTGCATTATATTTAAGTACATAAATCTTTGTTTTAATAATCCTTTGTCATGTTTTTAAAAAGTACACTGTATTATTATTCAATATTACATTTATAATTAATATATTTTAAATGTACTGAAGTGCGACTTTAAATGTGTAATTACAAAGATATTTAAATGCATGACATAGAACTTTTATTAGAAATTACATTAAAGTAATGCTTGTCAATACATTTTGCAGTACACTTTTACCATATTTTAAAGACAATAAAAGTAATTATGAAATATAAAGATGTACCTAAGTCCTACTTGGGACAAAAATGCACTCTATAGTCTTCAATTTAATATAAATTTAATACATTTTCATTTAATTGCATGTAACATGCAGTTAAATGTCAGAAAACATTACATTCAGTTCGCACTTAAGTATATAATTTCTGTAACAAGTACTCTTTTTAAAAGTATGCTTAGGTTAAGTATTTCAATTAGTAGATGTTTTTGTTGCACTCTGAGCAGTTATAAAATTAGGACAAATAAACAAGGACAAATTTACACTATAAAGAACCCTAATAAAAACATAAATTGCTCTAATGTTAAAATATAAAACAAAGTGACGATTAAATATTTCTGTAAAAAAACTGTAAATTGCTAACTGAAGAAATCATCAAACTAGTTCATTTAAATGAACTGACAGAACAAACTGATCTTTTGAAAAATGTAAATCTAAAAAAATGATCTAAAAATCTATTTAAGAAACAAATAAATGTCAAGGCAATGGCTGTGCTGCTAAAATACGTGCTGGATTATATAAGCAAAGCACCATTTTACTAATGCAAATTGAGTCTACTTTTTCTTGTTTTTTTTTCTTTGCATGTTGCTGCTCAGTCTACTATGTCACTGTTCATTTTCCTAATGGATTTCTCACTGCTCACGTTGGCAGTTCTGTTCCTTAGCCATCAGCAGTTTTCTTAGTGATAAATCTATAAAGAGGAGGGGCAGCACTTAGAAATGACTACTCCCCTGACGGAGCGCACCTAGCCGTGGGCTCTAATGATAACTCGGTGGACATCTACGGCGTTGTGCAGCGATACAAGAAGGCGGGCGAATGCGTGGCCTCCAGTAGCTTCATCACACACATGGATTGGTCCATTGACAGCAAGTATCTACAGACCAATGACGGCAATGGTCGGCGGCTCTTCTACAGGATGCCCAGTAAGAACTCTGTACTCTCTTGGAATTATGTATTGCTTGTATTTATGCCTCGGATTGGATAATATAATTTCGACTGATTTTGGTGTTGTTTGTGTTTAGGTGGTAAGGAAGTGACCAACAGGGAAGAACTGAAGCTTGTCCAGTGGTCTTCATGGACTTGTGTCCTCGGGCCGGAGGTGAACGGGATCTGGCCTAAATACTCTGATATCAATGACATCAACTCTGTAGATGCCAACTTCAATAGTCAAGTTTTAGTGACAGCAGACGATTATGGATTAGTTAAATTATTTCGGTACCCATGTGTAAGAAAAGGTGGGTCCTCTTTTACTCTTGGTCTCATTTTTGTTAATGACATTCTGTCATTATTTATGCTTACCCAAGTCTGCCTGTTTTACATCTCTAGGTGCTAAGTTTAAAAAATATTTAGGGCATTCAGCACACATAACCAATGTCAGATGGTCACATGATTATCAGTGGGTGATTACTATTGGTGGAGCCGATCATTCAGTGTTCCAGTGGAAGTTTGTCCCCGAAAGGAAGTCAAAAGAAACTCTTCATATAGCTCCTCAAGGTGTGAATCTATCTATCTATCTATCTATCTATCTATCTGTCTGTCTGTCTGTCTGTCTGTCTGTCTATCAAGTATAGCATATAAGTATAAAAATAAAAAATCTGTAAAGATAATGCATTATTGAAACAAAATGCCACTTTAAGGACACTTTTAAAAAGTGTGCATTGTAATGTAATTGTCAAATTAAAAGTTTTACCTTAAAGTGCATTATATTTAAGTACATAAATCTTTGTTTTAATAATCCTTTGTCATGTTTTTAAAAAGTACACTGTATTATTATTCAATATTACATTTATAATTAATATATTTTAAATGTACTGAAGTGTGACTTTAAATGTGTAATTACAAAGATATTTAAATGCATGACATAGAACTTTTATTAGAAATTACATTAAAGTAATGCTTGTCAATACATTTTGCAGTACACTTTTACCATATTTTAAAGACAATAAAAGTAATTATGAAATATAAAGATGTACCTAAGTCCTACTTGGGACAAAAATGCACTCTATAGTCTTCAAGTTAATATAAATTTAATACATTTTCATTTAATTGCATGTAACATGCAGTTAAATGTCAGAAAACATTACATTCAGTTCGCACTTAAGTATATAATTTCTGTAACAAGTATTCTTTTTAAAAGTATGCTTAGGTTAAGTATTTCAATTAGTAGATGTTTTTGTTGCACTCTGAGCAGTTATAAAATTAGGACAAATAAACAAGGACAAATTTACACTATAAAAAACCCTAATAAAAACATAAATTGCTCTAATGTTAAAATATAAAACAAAGTGACGATTAAATATTTCTGTAAAAAAACTGTAAATTGCTAACTGAAGAAATCATCAAACTAGTTCATTTAAATGAACTGACAGAACAAACTGATCTTTTGAAAAATGTAAATCTAAAAAAATGATCTAAAAATCTATTTAAGAAACAAATAAATGTCAAGGCAATGGCTGTGCTGCTAAAATACGTGCTGGATTATATAAGCAAAGCACCATTTTACTAATGCAAATTGAGTCTACTTTTTCTTGTTTTTTTTTCTTTGCATGTTGCTGCTCAGTCTACTATGTCACTGTTCATTTTCCTAATGGATTTCTCACTGCTCACGTTGGCAGTTCTGTTTCTTAGCCATCAGCAGTTTTCTTAGTGATAAATCTATAAAGAGGAGGGGCAGCACTTAGAAATGACTTAGTTACTCAGGGTTTCTCAGGAGATCATGATAAATGGAATAGTTGCTAATTTGTTAATTCATTTATTTGTTTTACTTGAGTGGAATGCCTAATCAACACAGGAGTTCAATTTTTTTTGCCCTTTCTGTCTTACAGAGACATTAGTAGACTCACACAGTGAGGAATCCGACTCGGATCAGTCAGACGTGCCTGAGATGGACTCTGAAATCGAACAGGAGACCCAACTTACTTACCGACGACAGGTTGTTTAATACATATGTTTATCAAAACCTGAGAGCAGGTCCTCTCATGGGTCTGAATTCCTTAAAGGGGTCATGTGATGCGATTTAAAATTTTCATTTCTCTTTGAAGTGTTACAAGCTCTTGGTGCATAAAGAAGATCTGTAAAGTTGCAAAGACTAAAGTCTCAAATCTAAAGAGATATTCTTTATAAAATTTAAGAGTCAGCCACGCCTACCTAAAACGGCTCGTTCTAACACGCCCCCACATGTCTACATCACGATGTGGGAAGATTTGCATAACACCACCCAAATGTTCACGCAAAGAAAGAAAGCGTAACTTTTATTCTCGCTGTAGTATTGTTGCCGCCCTTTTTAGCAACATCATATGACCCCTTTAACAGATTTGCCTCAGTTGTGTGTTTGGGGAGTTTTATTATGAAGTTTTTTGGTCCAGGTTTACAAAGAAGATCTACCTCAGCTTAAAGAGCAGTGTAAGGAGAAGCATCGTGCCATGGCTATGAAGAAGAGGGAAAGAGCTCCAGCAAGTGGATTGAGGTTGCACTTTATACATGGGTAAGTGCTTCAACAGATCCCAAACAACATTGACAGCCATTGTGGTTTGTTATTTGAGGAGCTCTCAAAGGTACTGAACAGATGGTAAACAAATCATTACTCTCCAAAATCTGTCTCCCAAACATAAACATATAGTGTACAGTTTGTTCACAAAGCTGTTTGTAACACAATTTGTGTTACAAACAGCTTGACAACTGTGACCACTGTAACACTGAGTTTCAATAGAATAGAATATAATAGAATAACTAGGTTTTGATGCATGAATTAAATGTTTTGGGTGAGTTACTACATTTTGTACACATGCAATAGGGTTCTGATGTTTCAGCAAATAGTTTTGACAATTGCACTTACAGTTTAGAGATAGTTAAGACTGTTTCTAAAAATGTGCCAAAGCAATTGAAAAAAAACTATAATTCAATTTAAAGTTTATGCATATACAGTTTATAGTTTATACGAAGATTGTTTTAAGTTCACTTAAATTAAAATTTACATAACATTTCAAAGCCTATTAAATGTTAAAAATAATGGCTTTAAAATTATACTGCAGCGTTGAATGGCTGTAATTAATGGCTAAATTGAGGGGGAAATAGAGACATCAGTAACAGTATTGATATTCATTACTAATAGGCTACTTAGTAAAAAGCTAATTAAAAATGCTATTAAATACATATTTAAAATAGACCAACTTTATGTTGTTTCTACATTAATTTGGATATTCAGTGTGCAATATAAATATATTATATTAATATGCGATTAATTGTGTATGAGAAACATACTTTTTTAATGCAGAAAGATTAAAATTCAAAGCATGATATGTGTAAATAAACCTATGGGGATTGTAATGGGAGTGATTTAATTTTGAATAGACCACACATCTGGTGTAGACACAGTGTAAAGAGGTCTCCATTTATTTTTCATTATTTATTTATGCACCTGCAAATCAAAAGTTTATTTAGCTAAAAATATGCATAACACAGCTCTGGCAAGTGCCAGTTTCAGTCCCAAAGATGAATTTTAGTCACCCTTAGAGACTATAGAGCAGTTGCTGTCAATTCACAGATCTTATGAAGGTTGTATCCAGGTTGATGTTTTTTGACATTACCAATACCTTCAACATCAGCCTGCCTCTCTGACTCAGACAAAGCTCAGAGTGATGCATGTGGACACCCCCAAAGTCTGCTGGATTACTAGACCTTTCTGACAGCCTCCAGCTGTGTTCTGGAGAAGATGCTGACCAACGCTGAGGTGTCCCAGGAACCGTGCTGTCTGCTTTCCTTTTCACCCTTTACATGGCAGACTGAAGGGAGTTAAAACTATGCCCACAGCTCAGAGTGATGCATGTGGACACCCCCAAAGTCTGCTGGATTACTAGACCTTTCTGACAGCCTCCAGCTGTGTTCTGGAGAAGATGCTGACCAACGCTGAGGTGTCCCCGTGCTGTCTGCTTTCCTTTTCACCCTTTACATGGCAGACTGAAGGGAGTTAAAACTATGCCCACAAGCTCATGCTTTCCAACTACTCTGAGATAAGTTGGAGTCGGGGAAGAAAGTGAAAGGCTGTCTTGTGCTGTTCACCAGTGTAGAAGTTGTCCTGGAAACTGATCTGGGTTGGACTCACAGCACAGTTGCCCATCAGTTTTGGTCTTTTAACACTCAAACGTGCTAATCCTTCTCAAAAACCCTCAGATGAACTCAAAGGCCTGCAATGACAACCACAGCTTCATTAAGGTGAACTGCAAATGTGTAGCATTTGTTTCAAATGCGTCCATAGGTCATTAGATGGATTGAGGGTTACGGATTAAAGAACAGTACAGTTGTAATTGCAATGTTGCCCAGTGAAGCTGTGCATTGGCTGCTAGAATAGACCTGGATCTGCTTTTAGAGGATGAAGAGATGATGCTGAAGAAAATACTTAGATGAGGTTACTCAATGGTTTACAGAAGCAAGGCAATTTAGGTCACAGGATAAAATCCCATTTGTTTGTCTCTATCTATTTGTCCATTTATTGAAATAAGTAGAAACGACACTAATACATTTATAGCGCTGTAAGCGGAGACTGAAAAATGATGAAAAATTACGATGATCATAAACAATTAAATAGATGTAAGGACATCATGAAATGTATTTAGGCCAGTGTTGCTTTTCTAAAGCTTGATACAAGTTATGCTCTGCAGTTTACAAAATGGATAAAAAATTATAAAAAAATAAAAAAAAGCTTTGTTGTAATTTGTATTTCAATGCTCAAAGTCAGCATGAAATGAAAATCACCTTTTGCTTTAAAAAAAAAAAACATATTACAGATCTTATTGTGAACAATTCATCTGTGCATCATTCATCACCTCATCAAAATGTCATAACTAGATGTTCCGGTGACAGAATGACAGAATTTCTGTCTTTCTGGAGTCTCTTGGTAGATTTGTACATGCAATTTTTAATAAAGTATAATAAGACTCGTTTCATTTGTAAAAAACGTGTTTTAAACAAGTCAGTTGAGTGCCTTATTCAGTGGCTCACTCATGATTAAAAAAAATAAAGCATTCACTTGTCGCCACCTACTGGCTTAGTTATGTCATTACAGAGCAAATTGTTTTGGTGAATGGATTCAGAAGATTTGGAAATATTCAAATTCGCTTGAATACAATTACATTCAGATAGATATGTACATCCATGCATGCAAGTGACTTTAGTATAGGGTATAGGATGAGCTATGATCGAGGAGACATTTGTAATATGTGTGTGTGTAAATGTGTGTTTCAGTTACAGAGGTTATGACTGCAGAAGTAACCTCTTCTACACTCAGACCGGTGAGATTGTGTATCATGTGGCGGCTGTGGGAGTGGTGTACAACAGACAGCAGAACACACAGCGCTTTTACCTGGGCCATGATGATGACATCCTCTGTCTGGCCATCCACCCCGTCAAAGACTATGTAGCCACAGGCCAGGTACAGTCAGCTGCACAAACGTCTGTCTTTGTCATCAACAGCACACAGAGCAGAGATGTTTCTCTCCTGAATAGAATAGATTTAGTTCAGCTTGTGGTCAGGGCATATTAATTATCTGTGTTTGTTTCTTATCCAGGTGGGCCGTGATTCTTCTATTCATATATGGGAAACAGAGTTTTTGAAGCCATTGTCTGTTCTTAAAGGATTCCACCAGTTTGGGGTGTGTGCACTTGACTTCTCAGGTATGCACTGTGAAAAAAAGCCCCACCCTGAGGTCAAGTCTCGTATCCTGATTATTAGTGGCAACATAACTATTACTGTTGATTTAAAGATTAAAAGAACTTCACTTTTTCATGTCAATATTTCTTGTCAATTTAATGCATCCTCGATAAAAATTGGTATTCATTTCTTAAGTTAAAAAATTCCTACTGACCCCAAACTTTTGAATTATAGTGTATATTCTTTATGAAGTGGAGTGAAGAGCCAAAGTATACTACAAAAAGAAAACTTTAGGAGACTAAAATGATCCTTCAAATACTAAAATGAACAAATAGCTCTACTTTCTGACACATATAAAATAGTATGACTCATGGTCTGAATCAAAGTATGAATAGAATAGTATTTCCAGTCTGGAAAAAATAGGTCAGCCACCTTTTGTGTGTGTGTGTGTGTGTGTGTGTGTGTGTTGTTCTTTGCGTGAAACAAAGGAAGCTTTGAGTGGAACATAGAATCAAAAGGAATGGTTTTTTTAGAATCTTTTTTTTGTTATATTTTCTTAACAGTGAGGCATGAACTGTTTGACACTCAGAAGATGACATTTTATCTATCTGTAACAGCTCTGAATAGGATTTGTAACAGTGGATTTCATAGCAAACTTACCTGAGCAGGTTCTCCATATTCTGATCTCTATTAAATTTATGCAGTTGGCAGACACTCTTATCCAAAGTGACTTACATTGCATTTAAGGTATACGCACTTTTATTAGTTATTGCATTCCTTGGGAATCAAACCCATGACTTGGCCTTGACTGTGTAAGCTGCAGAAAGCCTGTTAGTCTTGCACATACAGACTTTGCCACATATTCTTCTCCATTTTGCAGATTATTTTTGCTATAAACTGCCCATTTATGCAGGAATAGTCCATGTGGCTAATATGTAAAACCACCGATCACATTTATTTATTTTTGTATGTATTGATTCTGAAATCGCTGAAACATTCTTTGTGAACAGATCTACAATTTGTTAAACGAGACAAATTTCGTGTTTAAAATCAAAGGGTCAGGTTTATAGAAGAGCTTTTCTTGGCAAAGCTAAAACAACAGCCTCCTAGTATCTGTCAATGTCATGGGCCTAAGCATAAAAGATTATTCTCATTAGATGCCATCCAATTAAAATTTCCACTGGAGCGATGCTGTCACATTGTATTACTTGAGGCATCTTGTTTCATTGTTAGCAGGGTGGAGATGGTATAAAATCATTACATGATATACATGCTATTATTTGGCTGATGTTGAGTATAAACAGAGCCGTACTGTATGATGTCTGTCTCTGCAGCGGATGGGAAGAGGCTGGCTTCAGTGGGTCTGGATGACAATCATACCATCGTCCTTTGGGAATGGAGGAAAGGAGAGAAGCTCTCCACCATCCGGTGAGTGAATAATACCTGCTTTGCTTCGTTAAAGTTGTAGTCCAAGTTTGTTTGCTTGGGGCAAATGATGTGCTAGTGTGCTCCTAAAAGCTGACAAAATACACTTTTGGCGGATATAAGCATGTGAAAGTCACAGTAATTATCTTACAGGAAAAAAATATATATATATTGATGACTCAAAAATATCTGTCCAATAAAATTGTATCTAGAATGAATTCCCTCTTCCAGTATTACCTATATAATTGACTATTAATAACTAGAAGCGAATTTGTGGTGTAAACTAAACCCCTATTGGCTATTTAAAAAAGAGACAAGCAATTTGATATCTCCCATTCTTAATGTCAGTTTCAACAGAAATAGATTAAAAGTAAATTGCATTCGTCAAACTATTTCTTGGGGATTTATGAGAAAAGTTGTGCTTTTTTCACCAACCAGCCAAAGCTTTATTGACACATTTTAATACTTTGAAATACTTTTTATTTTTTTTTGCTGGTTTGTTAACTAAGGGATTGTTTTATCCTTCTGTCACAGCATACTGTGTTAGATGTTAATTAAAATTTTATTTATTTATTTATTTATTTGGTGTGTTGTGTTCATTTAAATGGCAGTATTGGTGTTGTATCTCTAGTGCTTATATTAGACATTTCTTTGTTTTAAAACTGGCTTTTAAAATCCCACACAGTGAGCCGCAAAGGTCCATAGAATATTTCACAGAAAATGTGTTAAATAAATAAATGAATAACTAAATAAATAAATCAAATGAAAAAGGAACAATTACTTACATTTAAACTGGTCAGAAAACATGAGAGTTGCACATATTTATACTATTTTATTTTTCCCAATATAAATGGGTGTTTATACAGTAAATATAAAACTGTCTTAATATTTTAAAAACCTTTAAAACTTGCCTAACACAAGTTCTATTTTTAAAGGGGTCATATGATGTTGCTAAAAATAACATTATTTTGTGTATTTGGTGTAATGAAATGTGTTTATGCAGTTTAAGGTTCAAAAAACAGATTATTTTCCACATACTGTACATTATTGTTTCTCCTCTATGCCCCGCCTTTTTGAAACTCGTCGATTTTTACAAAGCTCATCGGCCTGAAAAGCAAGGTGTGCTGTGATTGGCCAGCTATCCAGTGCACTGTGTTTGGCCGAATACCTCAAGCGTGTGACAGAAATGTTACGCCCCTTACCATATTGTGATGATGCACCAAGAGCTTGTAACACTCCAAAGAGAAAGGAAAAATTGAAATCGCATCATATGACCCCTTTAAAATCTATATAAACCACGTTCAAAACATTATTATTACTAGCCTTAAGTATTACACAGAAAAGCTCTGGCAAGCATCCACAATGTTCTTGGAATGTGGTGGCAAACTAGAATTTCTTAAGAAAATGTCAAAATCTTGTGTAAAACAGCTGTTGCTAACATTACCTCCAACTACAACTCTTTAACCTGTTAAAAACACTGTAATGTACATCCTCTCATGGTTTACTGCGGTAATATAGCAAGGTTTCAAAGAGTGCATACCTGCTCTTAGAGTTTGAAGAGTTTGTATTTCCCTGTCTGGATTCTCTTGAGTTCATAGGTAGCGCAGAGCTCCAGCCGACTCCTCCCTGGGGCTTTCTCTGGTAGAGAGGATGCTTGTGCGGGTGGAAGTAAATAGGGCCTGACAGTGCAGTCACTGCTCAGTGCTCTGCCCGCTCCACATCGGGCCTAATGCAAAATCGCAGACAGCCACTGCCCCCCGTGCTGCTAAATTCCCCACCGGCACTCAGACAGTGGAAACAGCACAGCAGACAGGTCAATTACAGCCCTACAGTGCCGATTGCAAACCTTTAAACTCTTAAAAAAGATCGAGGGCTGTTCAGTTCATCCTTTTTGTTGTCAGCAAAAGAATCCCAAATACATTTAATAACATACTGTAAATGTCTCTCTTTTTATTTACAGGGGAAGTAAAGACAAAATATTTGTCATTAAAATCAACCCGTATATGCCAGACAAACTGATAACCGCTGGAGTGAAACAGATGAAGTTTTGGCATAGAGCAGGTAGGTCTATGGCTATGTCCATATGAATGGTCATTCCATGTGTGGTCTTAGGGGGAATTTACACGACACCATTTTCACCAAAAAATGTAAAACTTTTTATGCACTTTGGCCGTTCATTTACATGACAACAGCATTTCTTGGCATGATTGCGTAAGTGTAAGTTTTTGAAAACTATACCATTATTGTCTCTGTGTAAACTACAAAAACACAAATGTGTGAAAACAATGTCATGCACATGCGTATTATGTGTTATGGCATGCATAATACAGCCTTTTAAGTCATTTTCACAGATCTGTGTGAACAGGATAATTTTGACAACATTGTCGTCTGTAAAGCTTACCCATTTTTAGCATATCTTTGTCATGTAACATACACTAAATTGCAACTGTCATCATCTTTTGCCACAGAATAGCAATTGTGAGTAAATATTCTGTCAACTTTGCAGAAATGAAATATGAAGATTCTACAAAGTAACGCTTATCTTTAGCAACATTATTTTGGGCAAAGTGAATAGCAGGCACAACATTGTGGCACAAACTTAGATACATAAGGGGTACAATTTGAAGCATATGACTAAATGTGCATCATCGTTTTTGAATACGTCTGTTTTACAGTCCACACATGAAAACAGTGTTTTCAAATGTATCCACTTGGGAGAACATCTTCAAAAAGGTCCATTTTTGCTGGAAAGCATATTAATGTGTACAAAAGGCCAACACTTAGAGGAAAATAAGTGTTTTCAAATGTATACGGATTCACATGGACATCTTGTGCATGTCTTGTGGAGTATGTGAATCAGTACACTTCCCCTGTCAGAGATCATCTCACAAACCTTTGCTGTTCTCAGGCGGTGGACTGATTGGGAAGAAGGGCAGCATGGGAAAAACCGAAACAATGATGAGCGCGGTATACGGCTGGACGGAAGAAATGGTGTTCTCAGGAACCTGCACTGGAGACATCTGCATCTGGAGAGACATGTTCCTAGTGAAAACCGTCAAAGCTCATGATGGGCCTGTTTTTAGCATGCACGCCCTGGAGAAGGTATCAGATTTAGCTTCAAATAGGAAATACGATTGAGTTACTGTCCCTTTAAATATTTCAGAAATATAATGTGAATGTATTGTTACTAAGGGTTTTGTGACTGGTGGAAAGGATGGAATAGTGGCTTTGTGGGATGACACATTTGAGAGATGCCTCAAGACGTATGCCATAAAACGAGCGGTGCTGGCCCCAGGCTCCAAAGGTGAGGACATCTCTTGCATTATTTCAAAGACAGTCTATCTATCTATCTATCTATCTATCTATCTTTTATTTTATTGTACATTGTTTTGCATTTTTTACTGGAAAACAAGACAAAAATACTAATTAAGAAACTGTCTTTGCAGTGTAGCTTCAACAGTGTGAATAACTTATGCAGTTAAAGCCATTCAAAAACCTCCATGCATTCTCAAAGAACATTCAGTGTGTTTAATAAATAGAAAGCCAAGGTCATGGATGAGTGTTTATTTATAACACGTCTCTTCCTGCAGGTTTGCTTTTAGAGGACAACCCCTCCATTCGTGCCATATCTTTGGGTCATGGGCATATTCTTGTAGGAACAAAGAACGGAGAGATTCTGGAGGTGGACAAAAATGGGCCCATCACTCTTCTGGTTCAGGTAAGGCACAGATTCAGCTGTCAGATTAGCATGACAAGCCATGAAACATGGGGGCAAAAAACACTCTGAGAAATAAGACTAAATAAAGGATTGTTTAAAGATTATTACTGTGTTTTTCCCTAATGAGCTAAATTGTTGAAAATTAAGAGGCTTAACAGATTCATGCGGCCTTCCCTCAATTAAATTATGCGCTCGTGAATAAGCCATGTGCATACATTAAAGCAATAAACCCAAAGAAGCCATGGTTTACAGTGATTTTAGAACAGTGAAGGGGAGTTAATAGGTAGAATGTGATGTTCTCCAGTAATGTTTAGCAGAAGAGTTACCAAGCAACACACAGAAGCAGCAAGAAACCAATGCAGTGGTGCAGTAAGACTGGTGTTTATAGGTCACAGTTGTGTGTTTATAGAGTATTTTACAACAACTTGGCTCAGCCAATCACCAGGCAAGGACCGGAACTGTCTGCACATGCCTTGTGCAACAACATGAAGGCTTTTTTATCCGTCAGACTCAAAAAAGCCTCTTTGATATGTCTGACAACACCTGCTTCTGTTCATTATGACAGTGAGCTGGCAATATGTATTACACAACCATTTAAAAAACTTGACCAAAAACAACCATTAAGAAACTTTCAATCCCCATTACCGTTCATCTATTTAAATCACAACACAGTATCTCTTTACATTTGAGGCATAATGAGCTTTGCAAGAGAAAATAAAACTCTTATTAAAACCTTTTAGAAGGTTGATGTTTCATTGGTTGATCTTGTGGCTTATGGTTTATACTATTAGTATAGTAATTTTTTCTAGTAATATACAGTATATACATTATAAACTTTGTTAGGGTGGTTTCAAGATATTTTTCTGTTGTGTTTAATTTAGTTTGAACCATTTAGTTTTCTTCAGCTGTTTAGAACAGATTTTTAGAAATTTCAGTCTTAAGTTTGCCATCTGTTTTTGTCTTTAAAAACATTGGTCAATTGTAGTATTTGCATACTGAACTGTGATAGGTCTTCTCTCTTAGGCCTGTTTCTATACAAAATTGTGCAAAATACATCTAATTAACTTCCTGTATTACATATGCCTGTCATTCTTTGTCCTACTACCTATACTTGGATTTTTTAAAACTCTTTTCTCCTTACCGCTTGCAAACAGTGTTATTTTCTTCTAGAAATACAAATCTACTTTGTAAAACCTTTTTTTCCTTACAGCAGCACCCGTAAATGACCCTGAGAATGAATGAGTCAGTCAAGTGTCTGTCTCTCCACCTGCCCTCACCACTGAACCACTTTGTAATGTTGTGTTCTGCACAACAGTTTTGCCATCATCACTGGAACTAAATTGCTCCAGTTCCACTTCAGGGACAAACAAAATGGTCCGAGGCTGTTGTTATGTAATAAATGGTAAACGGCAGTAACTACAGACTGGGCAAAAATAGTAGTTTTCCAGTATTTCTGTACTCAGACTGTCATGGTTAAGCAAAGTAGTTGGTTTTTGTGCAATGATTAAATGTGTGTCTTTTTGGCTTGTGTGGCTTGAGTTTTAGAGCCAGACACAGTGATTAATTACAGGTTGGTGCTTGTTATTGAAGTCATTGTTTACCTACTAAATGTTATATATCAGTTGGTGCAAACCCTCCATTGCTTTATTTAGCTTGTTAATTTATCAAGTGATTAGTAGGATGTAGAAATGAACAAAAACAACAACAAAACTCTGCATTTAGTTAGCCTTAGTCATAGATTTTTATAGGTCCTACTTGCTGCTAGAAAACATTTGAGCTTGATTGAATTCTTGTTTATTGCACTCTGAAATGCTTTTCCGGAAAACCTTTTATGGATCCCTTGGGTGCGTCAGAATAAACTAGGGGAAATTCTCTAAAAATGAATTGTGCCTGCTGACAGTATTGTTTATTTGCATGTGGATTATTTTAGCATCCGATTCGCTAAAAAGAAATGCAAATCAGGTATAGACTGCGAGGTAAAGACTGCGGAGGATACGGCCGACTATCGTGATCTGGCGTACTTTACTGGGACTGTACAGCATCACTCCACCACTGTTTTCCAGGCTCCTGAATCAGCTCTTTAACACCATGTGTCTGGATATATGCCCAGTTATAATGGCCTTCTCCATCATTTGATGAATCACTGCCACCATGCTCACTAGAAAAATGTAGATGTACTCTTTTAAATACAATTTTCAGGCGGAAAAAGCTTGATGTCTGTCATGAGCATAAGAAAGGAGATGTGTTTGTGCTGAAAAGAATGACAGTTATGTTGATGTGTTAGTATTAAATCATGTGTGTGTGTGTGTGTGTGTGTGTGTATGGGCTGTATTTAGGGCCACATGGAGGGTGAGGTCTGGGGTCTTGCCACTCACCCGCATCTGCCACTGTGTGCCACTGTGAGCGACGATAAGACCCTGCGCATATGGGATCTCTCCCCCAGCCACTGCATGCTCGCCGTACGCAAACTCAAGAAAGGTAAGAAGATGTTTACTAATTACTCATTAGAATCTGCAGCTTTTTCCATGTGTTCACAGGCCTTAATAAAATATTGGGTCACACTTTCTTTTAATGTGTCCGTGTTGCAGTGTAATTTTACATTTACATTTAGTCATTTAGCAGACGCTTTTATCCAAAGCGACTTACAAATGAGGACAATAAACACCCAAAAATTGAAATTCTATCCACATGTTGTTCCAGACCGCTGAGATTCTTCCTAAGTTAGATAAAAGTACACCATTCGACGTTTGTTCTTTGATCTTTTTGCGAAAAACAGACTGATATTTACTGAAAGCGTACCCTCCAGTATAGTCTTCATTTCTCATTTGCATTTCTGCATATTCAAACAAAAAGTGAAACTTTCATATATTCTAGATTCATTACAAAAGTTTCATTATTTCAAAAGGTTTTTTTTGTTTTAGTTCTGATGATTAGAGCTTACAGCTCATGAAAGTCAAAAATCCAGTATCTCAAAATATTAGAATATTTTCATTTGAGATTTATTAAATGACCATCCCTATAGTATAAATTCCGGGTATCTCTTGTTCTTTGAAACCACAATAATGGGGAAGACTGCTGACTTGGCAATGGTCCAGAAGACAATCATTGACACCCTCCACAAAGAGGGTAGATCACAGAAGGTCAGTACTGAAAGGGGTGGCTGTTCACAGAGTGCTGTATCAAAGCATATTAAATGCAAAGTTGACTGGAAGGAAGAAATTGGGTCGGAAAAGGTGCACAAGCAACAGGGATGACCACAAGCTTGAGAATACTGTCAAGCAAAGCCGATTGAAAGTCTAAGTTTAGGTCAAGGGCAATAAAATCTACTGTATGTATAAAAGTCCTTGAAAAGTAGCAACAATAAATGAAGAAGACATAGGAAAAAGTTTCGTTACATCTCAGCATCTCTTTTCTGTTTTCTTGTATTAGGGAAGCTTTTGCAGGTCAACACATCGGCAAAGGAGCAGCTATTTTTTGAGGCCCCTCGTGGGAAGAAGCAGACCATTCCTGCTACAGAGGTATGGATCCTGAACATCTCACCGTGTGTCACCCTGGGAGGGGGAAGGGCACTCTTAAGGGCAAGAACATGGCCCACTTTTCATTAGCTTGTCTCTAAATTTGGAGGCAGGGAATTAGGCCGTGCTTAAGGCCATTGCTACGTTGGGACAGACAGTGAACGCTTACGTTAATAACTTAAGATTTAGTAAGAGCTGAAAGCCCTTCAGTGTTTCTGATCTCCTGCCTTCAGCTAAGTGCACAGCTTCTGTTGGAGGCATTTTGGCTACAGTCTTTGTTGGATTGAGTTGGATTTTAATATTGAAATTTATGCTGCCAATTCATTTTCATTAAAAGTGTTGCTCGATGCCAGTTTTTTTCTACAACATACAGCTTTAAAACAAACTCTACATATTGTTCTGGTTAGGGGAACACTTGGTGTTTATAGGAATTTAATTAGTCTGCGTCTTGATGAATCTTTCTTTCCTCAGGTGGACAAGATCGACTGGAGCACATGGACATGTGTGCTTGGAAGTTCCTGTGAAGGAATTTGGCCTGTGGTCAGTGAAGTTACCGAAGTTACTTCTGCATGTCTTAGCAATGACAGGAAGTTGCTAGCAACTGGGGACGACCTTGGATATGTCAAGCTCTTTAAACATCCAGTCAAGGTTAAGAAAATGTTATTTAATCACTAATTATTACTATCCCTCATACTAAGGGATAGTTGACCCAAACATATAAATTTGTCATCAATCATCCAAAAAGAATTAATGTCTTTTTTAAGCTGTGAAACACAAAATAAGATATTTAGATATACAGTGCCCTCCACTAATATTGGCACCCTTGGTAAATATGAGCAAAGGCGGCTATGAAAATAAATCTGCATTGTTTATTTTTTTGGATCTTCCATTTAAAAAATTCACCAAATTCTAACCTTTCATTATGAGTCGTCAGGATTGTATTGAAATCAGCCGCAGACCAGCAAATCACTGAGAACGCGCTGATTTAATGCGCGAGGTAAGCTGTCCGCGTAGCGCTCGCCCAAGCGGTAAAATGTGCTGTTGCTGTCAGATCTCGATTGCCGAAAATCACATTGAAATCTGCATTGTTTATTTTTTTGGATCTTCCATTCAAAAAAATCACCAAATTCTAACCTTTCATTGAAGTAAAACAATTGAAAGTGGGCGGAAACTCACATTATGAAATTAATGTTTTTCTCCAATGTACACTGAACAAAATTATAAACGCAACACTTTTGTTTTTGCCCCCATTTTTCATGAGCTGAACTCAAAGATCTAAGACTTTTTCTATGTACACAAAAGGCCTATTTCTCTCAAATATTGTTCACAAATCTGTCTAAATCTGTGTTAGTGAGCACTTCTCCTTTGCCAAGATAATCCATCCACCTCACAGGTGAGGCATATCAAGATGCTGATTAGACAACATGATTATTGCACAGGTGTGCCTTAAACTGGCCACAATAAAAGGCCACTCTAAAATGTGCAGTTTTACTGTATTGGGGGGTCCGAAAACCAGTCAGTATCAGGTGTGACCACCATTTGCCTCACGCAGTGCAAAACATTTCCTTCACATAGAGTTGATCAGGTTGTTGATTGTGGCCTGTGGAATGTTGGTCCACTCCTCTTCAATGGCTGTGCGAAGTTGCTGGATATTGGCAGGAACTGGAACAAGCTGTCGTATACGCCGATCCAGAGCATCCCAAACATGCTCAATGGGTGACATGTCCGGTGAGTATGCTGGCCATGCAAGAACTGGGATGTTTTCAGCTTCCAGGAATTGTGTACAGATCCTTGCAACATGGGCTGTGCATTATCATGCTGCAACATGAGGTGATGGTCGTGGATGAATGGCAGACCGCTCCGGTGCTCTCATCGCCCTTCAGGATCGTGAGTGCCCAGAGAGTCTCCAAGGATCACAGCTGGAGAATTGAAGAGATTAGTTCAATCTTAGGGTAAGAAAGACAAAAAAAAAACTCAAACAGCCCCTATATCACCACATGTTGTTTGGGAGGGTTTCAAGAAAAATTCTCCTCGCTTGGTGCATACAGGGATAAAAAGTAACCCAATGCCCATGGTTAAATATACTGCTAGATCTTTAATGTTGTGGGCCTATTTTTCTGCCAGAGATCCTGGATATCTTGTTCAGATAGATAGCATCATGGATTCTATCAAATACCATCAGATAAAAAATCTAAACCTGACTGCCTCTGTTAGAAATCTTATAATGAGCCATGGTTGGATCGTCCATCAGAACAATGATCCAAAACAAACATCAAAATCAACACAAAAATGTGTCACTGAGCACAAAATGAAGCTTCTGGCTGTCCAAGTTCCCTGACCCTGAAATTAGTGGGGAGAACTGAAGAGAAGAAGCTGTGAATCTGAAAGATCTGGAGAGATTCTGTGTGAAGGAATGGTCTCTGATCTCTTGTCAGGTGTTCTCCAAACTCTGGGGAAAAACGTTTATTTCATAATGTGAATTCCATGAGACCCCCAATTGTTTTACTTCAATGAAAGGTTAGACATTTGTACATTTTTTGATATGAAAAATCAAAAAAATCAAA